TCACTAAGCGGGCGAAAAACGTTTCCAGGCAACTTGTTTATTAAAATAAACTTCAGTTTTGCGTGAAAATAAAATTTGTTGTTAAATTTTATTAATTTATTTGGAGTCACAACAAAAATATGACTGATAACGATAAAATTGAAGTTCGCGACATAACGCGAATTGAGCGCATCGGTGCTCACTCGCACATACGCGGTCTTGGTTTGGATGATGTACTGGAGGCTCGTACTGTATCTCAAGGCATGGTAGGCCAAAAAGATGCACGCCGTGCTGCTGGTGTTGTTGTTCAAATGGTTCGGGAAGGCAAAATAGCTGGCCGTTGTATACTATTGGCTGGAGAGCCCAGTACCGGCAAAACTGCCATTGCTGTTGGCATGGCACAGGCATTAGGTACGGAAACTCCTTTTACCAGCATGTCTGGGTCGGAAATTTATTCGCTTGAAATGAACAAAACTGAAGCCCTATCACAGGCATTACGCAAAAGCATTGGTGTGCGTATTAAAGAAGAAACAGAAATTATTGAGGGCGAAGTGGTGGAGATTCAAATAGATCGTCCTGCAACCGGCACGGGTCAAAAAGTTGGAAAGGTATTTTAAAAAAATATTATCAATAAAGAATGTATTTATCAAGTTTTATGTTTAGGTTACACTGAAAACTACAGAAATGGAAACTAATTATGAATTAGGCAACAAAATAATTGAATGCTTCATGAAGGAAAAAATTCAAGCGGGCGATGTTATAACCATTGATAAAGCATCGGGAAAAGTTAATAAATTGGGTCGCAGTTTTACACGTGCGCGAGATTATGATGCAACTGGGGCACAGACCCGCTTCGTGCAATGCCCTGAAGGTGAACTACAGAAGAGGAAAGAAGTTGTGCATACAGTAACATTGCATGAAGTCGATGTGATTAACAGTCGCACACATGGATTTTTAGCACTTTTCTCTGGAGATACCGGAGAAATCAAACAGGAAGTACGTGATCAAATTAACAATAAAGTATTAGAGTGGCGTGAAGAAGGCAAAGCTGAAATTAATCCTGGTGTATTATTTATTGATGAAGTACACATGCTGGACATTGAGTGTTTCTCATATCTAAATCGAGCACTTGAATCTGATATGGCGCCAGTTGTAATAATGGCCACAAATCGCGGTATAACTCGCATACGCGGTACTAATTACCGCAGTCCACACGGCATTCCCATCGACTTACTTGACCGTATGATTATCATACGTACTGTTCCATATTCTGACAAGGAAATGAAGGAAATTCTCAAGATACGTTGCGAGGAGGAAGACTGTCTCATGCACCCGGATGCCTTGTCCATTTTAACACGTATTGCTACTGATACTAGTTTGCGCTATGCTATACAATTGATTACAACTTCAAATCTGGTTTGTCGTAGACGCAAAGCAACAGAAGTTACAACTGAGGACGTTAAGAAGGTCTACTCATTGTTTTTGGATGAAAACCGTTCCAGTCAGATACTCAAAGAATACCAGGATGAATATATGTTTAATGAAATCGAAAATGACAAGAGTTCTGACGGAGTAAAGATTGAAGATGGGAGTGGGGACGGCAACATTCAACCAATGGAACACTAAGTTTTTAAATAAATAATTCACATATAAAATGACTTAAACCAAAATTGTTTAATATATTTAAATTTTATATAGAAGATATATTGTCCTCTTTGAAATAGTTATAAGATCTCAATTGAAAAATAACACTAATAAGTCTTCTTTCTATACTGTATCCACTCTTTCTACATAGTCTATTTTTGCTTAATTGTTAAATAATACATCTTACTTCGCTATTGCTTAATTGATTAACACGAAGTCGTTTTTGAAATTATTTTATTTTTAAAAATATATTTGACTTAGCATTTGCTGCGCGCACTAAATTCTAAAATTCTCACTTGCAGTTTACAGTATAAAAATACAGCTTTTCTTAATATTTATATTAAAAATTATTCCTGCGTTTCAATTCAATAATTAAATGACTTGCATCTTCACATTTTTTTAAAAGCTTAAAACTACTTTTTGTTTCCAACCAATTGTTTATAATTACGCTACACATCTACCTTTTATACTTCTAATCGCTACTTAAGAAATCGAATAATAATTTGAAAAAACTAGACTAGCATAATTAAATTATCAGAGTACGAAGCTTTTATATTATATAGAAATACTTAATGATGAAATATGAGTATATAACAATTATTGTTAAATACATATATCGGCCAAAAAAAGTGTGCTGTTCCAGTAGTTGCAGTGACCGGTTATTGTTCCAAGTACATCTAGTCGATTGTGATAATTGCAAAATTAATTTAGATACTTTAAACTTTAGATAAGTAACGCGATTGCTTATATTAAAGACTTAATTAAGTAAACAGTTTGGTTTTGATGCTTATGATAAACCTAACTCATTGGGTTCGAATCATTATACAATAGTTCTAGTTAAAAATGTTTTCAAATACACTTAGAAATATAGCGTCTTTATATATATGGTAAGCTGCTAGTAGTTCTAAAAATCGCAAATGTTAATTCTATTAATTAGTCAAGATAATTGAATATATAAAATTTTATATTGATGAAACATAGACTATCTAAATGTAGAGTATAGGGTTCAAAATGTCTTTCATTTTCCATAGGAACAAAACAATGATTAGCAATCATTGCAGTCACATCGCTTACATGCAATTTAAGTCCTTAAATGATATTTATTTCACATTAAATTGTAAGTGCGTTAACTATCCAATTAACTATCCTTTTTCTCATTTTCAGAATTTTTAGAATCCTGTACTTGTAAAACGTTGTTTGATTTCATTGCTGAGCGTTTTTGAAATTGGTAAATTTTATAAATTAAGAACCAAATGGCCATGTACACAAACCCAAAGTAATTAACAGCCGACATGACACTAATCCAACGTGAATAGCTTAGAAATACGAAAGGTGTTAGACACCAGCCCATGTAAATTATGTTATATGATTTTAAAGCTGCGAATTTTAGGCACTTAAACGGTACCGATGCATTCAGTATATGGCCGTACTGTGGCAAAACGTCCTTCTCGTAAACAGTTTCAATCTATGAGGACAGAAACTTTAGTAAAAAGAATTTGACAGTTGAATGCAAGAACTTTACTTGTTTTTCTGTGGAGACAATCATGTATTCAATTAGAAAAGACATGTAGTAACCACTGTGGAAACCATGCCACACTGCTAGAAATCCCAAAGCTGCAGCGTAGCTTATTGTGCGATTGTTGAGAAATTTGAGTCGTTTGTATATGTACTGTGCCACCCAATGGTTTGTGTTCACATTGAAAGATTGCACATAGTGGCCCATAGTGTTCCCAGTTTCCAGAAGAATTAGTTTTACATTAGAACAACCAAACCAATCCGCCTCACCTTTATCATTCATGCCAGCATATGTGAAACCTTTAAAGAAACGACGTCATTTATTTATGTACAAAATCATTGCAATATACTTACCCAGGCACATTAGCGCGCCTTCTGTGAGCAACCAACATGAGATATACTTGTACAAGGTGAGTTTACCCATTATACCCAAATATATAAGACGCACAATAAACGATTGGTTTCGATAGTCATCTGTCAGGAAGTAACTTTCAGGCATCACCATAGACCCTGCTTGCCGAATAGCCAAGTACAGAATTCCTACTAACATACGCTTTACTCCTGTTTGTACAAATCCCGTGCACTGCCTAAATTCACCATCGACGAAACGTCTATATCGACTATAGGGAAACTGTGGACCGACTAAGAATGCACATGGAAAATATGCAAAAGCCGTCAATTCCAGTAATGAAGGCAAATCAACTAATGCCGTTTCCTGTTGATCCTTAGACAGAGATTCCTTTCCTTTTTGTCCATCAGCAACATCGAAGCCGAAACCAATCATTCGTAGCACAAGTACACAATGCGGCATAGTCCAGAGTATATCATAGTCGTTACTTTCGGTGAAAAAGTACCCAATCAGGAGATAGGACATATGAAAAACAAAGTTGACCGCCACTAAGTGCTTAGGCGACTTCTGTAATAAGCGCATCAACAAATACGTAACCCATATGGCGATTAGCGAATGATATGTATTGAATCCATAGTTAAAGACGCACAAGAACGAGCCGCACAGCGCAAAAAATAAGTGATGAATTGGCTTGGACGCCTGATGCATAATCACCAAACGATATATTGCAGCTATCGGATAACCTATAAATAACAACTTCGTTTGAGCAAGCAGAGTACTTCATAATGCAATTAATTCTATAATCTATAATTACCTGCAATGATTGTTAGCAGCAGTCGTATTGCTGGCTCAGGCGCTCCAACAGAGCCAGCCAATTTTGCAATAAGGCTCATTTCGCAAGCTTCGCCACAGATTCACTAATTTAAATTTATAATTCAACGTCAAAAAAAAATATCTACAGAGTTCAAAAAACAAAAAACATAATTAATTATCAACAATTTCGAAATGCAAATCAGCAACAAAACGCCATCGACAAGCGTCACACTGACCCCCTGAACTAGTAGTAAATCTGGTTCATTGAGTAATTCTTTCAAAACTGACAAATTGTTTACAAATTGCTTGGGTGCAAGTGCACCTAGCGTATCGAACTTTCGCCGACAATGGAAGTCAAGACAGTGGAAGGCAGAGGGTTACAAGTCACAGTGACAGGCGGACAGTGGAAGTCGCCTCTGCCTTGAACGTGTGTTGTTAATTATTATTAATTTAATTTAAAAATAGCAAATGATTTTCAGCGTATAAACACGTTTTATTTGAATTCATTAGAATGAAGTGTTTAGCAAGAATACTTTGGTATCTAAAAATATCCAACTTAGATATGAAATACAAACAAATCGATTACATGGAAACGGCCGTACCGACAACGAACGCACTTGATATTTTCCCACTGCACAACTGTTATGAAACGCAATTATTTATTTGCACTTTGAATTCGCTTCAGTAATATTACAAAAGCACAGAAAAACATTTTCAGAGGTCAACATATTTCAACACACAAATATAATAAATCCCTTTTTATTAAGTTTAACCTAATTAACCAGACCTGCTGATAATGCAATTATCTCGCACTTAACAGACTAACGCACTTTCTAAGTGCCGATCAGTCAAAACAAAAACAATGACTGCTCATGAATTTCAGATTTTTTGCAGTTTTATTGATTGACAACCCTTCTTCTTATATAACTAACGTTCACAATAGACCCTCACTTCGTTTAGTAAAAAAATATCCCAGTAAGAAATGTAATATATTCTACTAATACACAGTTTTTTAAATACACCGACAAATTATGACCGTGTACGAGTTCGAGTTAATTGATGTAAATAAGATAAAAATTAGTTAAATTAGATGTTCCCATTTTGAAAATATTATAAGATGGAGATTAATGGAGATTTTTTTTCGAACAGTAGTGAACTACAACAACAAAAATTCATTTTATATTATTTACTTGCTGTGTTTATATTAGAACGAAATCATAAACCAGCTGTAGAATAATGAAATTAATTGATTATATATGAATTTTTTAATTGTTAAGATGTTTAATAAATAAATTTGAAAACTTTTAACCAAAAATAATAAATAAGTGCAATAAATAAATAAATGATTACATAAGTGCAGTGCTAAAAATCTCAAGAAAATTTCAATTTACTCGAACTCGCACATAGCCTATATTGTAGCCTGTTCTAGATGCACTATTAATTGTAATAAATGCCCTGCAATTGTATTTACAGATTTATTGCAATACTACATATATTGCATTAGGACACATTTAAAAATGGGTTAATGTAAACTTATACGGCGTTTA